TTTTTTTAAGCCTGAGCTCTAACAGAGAAGGAAAGAAAAGGCACTAGATAAGCAATGAAAGGAGTCCTAGCATGGTGCTGTGGGCTAATGCGTCAGACTGCAAAGTCATTTGAACAACAAGGCTGATGGTTCAAGCTCACCAGTTGCTCTTTGGAAACCCTATACAGGGTCGCTATGGGTCAGAATTAACTCAGTGGCATTTAACAACAACAAGAACAAGCAATGAAAGGAGCCCCTGGGTGGGACAGTTACGCAATTTACTACTACTTAAAAGATAGGTGGTTTGAACCTACCTAGAGGTTCGTTGATCTCCAGCATGGAGATGATAAAGCAAATGGCAGAAATGAGGAGGTACAAGAGCTGAACAGAAAATTTCAAAGATCCGCTTGAAAAGATAAAAGCCAAATATTACAATAAAATGTGCAAAGATCTGGAATCAAAAAACCAAAAAGGAAGAACATGCTTAGCATTTCTCAAGCTGGGAGAACTGAAGATAAAATTCAAGCCTCGACTTTCATTATTGAAAGATTCTCTGGGCAAATTATTGAATGATGCAGAAAGCATCAAGAGAAGATGGAAGGAATACACAGAGTCATTATACCAAAAGGAAATGGTTAATGTTCAACCATTTCAAGAGGTAGCATATGATCATGAGCCAATGATACTAAAGAAGGAAGTCCAAGATGCATTGAAGGAATTGGCAAAGAACAAGGCACCAGGAATTGATGGAATAAAAATTGAACTCTTTCAAGGAAGTGAGGTGGCACAGGAGGCACTCACTCATCTCTGCCAAGAAATTTGGAAGACAACTATCTGGCCAACTGAGTGGAAGAGATCCATATTTGTGGTTGCATTCCAAAGAGAGGTGACCCAATGGAATGCGGAAATCATGGGACAATCTCTTTGCTATCCCATAAGAGTAAAGTTTTACTAAAGGTAATCTAGAAATGGCTGCAAGCATACATTGACAGAAAACTTGCAGAGGTTCAAGCCAGATTTAGGAGAGGTCATGGAACGAGGGATATCATTGCTGATGTCTGATTGATCTTGGCTTAAAGCAGAGACTATCAGAAAGATGTTTACCTGTGCTTTATTGACTAAGCAAAGGCTTTCAATTGTGTGGATCATGACAAGCTATGGACAACATTGCGAAGTATGAGTATTCTGGAACACTTAATTGTGTTCATGAGGAATCTGTACCTAGACCAAGAGGCAGTTGCTCGAAGAGAACATAGGAACACTGAATGTTTTAAATTAAAAAGGTGTGCAACAAGATTATGTTCTTTCACCATACTTATTTAACCTGTATGCTGAGCAAATAATCCGAGAAGCTGGGTTCTGTGAAGAAAAACGGGACATCAGGATTGGAGGAAAACTCATTAACAACCTGTGATATGCAGATGATACAACCCTGGTTGCTGAAAGTGAAGAGGGCTTAAAACATTTACTGATGAAGATCAAAGAGCATAGCCTTCAGTATGGATTACATCTCAATGTAAAGAAAACAAAAATCCTCACCACTGGACCAATAAACAACATTCTTATCAACAGAGAAAAGATTAAAGTTGTCAAGGACTTCAACTATCAACACTCATGGAAGCAGCAGTCAAGACATCAAATGACGTATTGCATTAGGCAACTCTGCTGCACAAGACCTTTGTAAAGTATTGAAGAGCAAAGATGTCAGCTTGAGGACTAAGGTCCGCCTGACCCAAGCCATGATATTTTCAATAACCTCATATGCATGCGAAAGCTGGACAGTGAATGAGGAAGATCGTAGAAGAATTGATGCTTTTGAGTTATGGTGTTGGAGGAGAGTATTGAAGGTGCCCTGGGCTGCCAAAGGAACCAACAGATCTGTTTTGGAAGAAGTGCAGCCAGTCATTGGAGGCCAAAATGGCCAAACTTCGTCTCTCATAATTTGGACATACTGTCAGAAGGGACCAGTCACTAGAGATGGATATCATGTTTGGTAAGGTGGAGGGTCAGAGAAAAAGAGGAAGACCCCCAATGAAATGGATTGTCCAAGTGGCAGCATCGATGGACTCAAACGTGGCAACAGTAGTGAGGTTGGCCCAGTATTTCGTTCTGCTGTGCATAAGGTCGCTATGGGTTGGTACCTACTCGATGGCACCTAACAACAACAAAGAGGGTCCTCAGAAAATAGGCTTGTAGCCTGCTTCCAAAAAGATTACAAACTGGAAAACCCACTGGTGCATGGGATTGCCAGGTTGCCATGAATTAGAATTAATTCAACATCAGCTAAGAACAAGCAACAAAACTTCCTGCCACCAGGACCTGAAAGTTGATTCAGCTCCAAAGCCTCAAATGTAGGTGAATGCTGAAGCTCAGAGATGTTTTGAGGTAATCTGAAGTCACATACCTGTGGAAGATGGTCTCCAAGCTCCCAAGACACAGACCACATGAAAACAAGGTCAGTTTCTGTGCAAGTGATTTATTGATGAACTGGGTATACCATTCCTAGTGCTGGGTTAAACCATAGGGAAGATGGCCATGTGACCATCAGTGCAATGTGGGGGTCATTTCATGCACAGGATTAAATTTCCTAAATTATGTTTGGCTATCTCTAGGTGATCTAAAGCTCCAGAAGACTTCAGATACAAAATGACTCTCATGCCACAAAAAGTCTTACTTTCCTCTCTTCTATCCCTACCCAATGAAGACCCCAATTCTTGCAAGGTTGGTAAAGAATGGGACCTACAACCTAGCAATATACTGAAAGAGAAAGAAGCCAGGGTTTTGCAGTCAGCCTCCTGCCCCACACACCCCTAGCTCCAAGGGACAGGGGTACAGGGTATCCACACCTGAAAAAGGCAGCAGGGCAGAAGCACTAGGGCCAGCGTGGAGGGTAAGCCAGATCATTTTCAGTGGGGTTATAGGCCACAGACACGGCCCTGAGATCTGAGGAAGGGATGGAATGTTTGGCACTCTTGTCTACTGTCTGCAGTCCTCACCAGAGTAGGGGCCAGAGAGTCAGGGCCAGGAGCATGAAGAGCAGAGAGCTCCCCTCCAGAAGCCAGTCTGCAGAGGACACCTTAGGAGTGGGGGACAGAGCTGTGAGCTTGAGATAAATTGCACCGCCAACGCAGGCCAGTCATGTCTCCACATCTGGCATGGAAGGGTTTGGAAGGAGGCAATTCAGGAGCTACCTTGCACTTACCTGTGAGGGGTGGTGCCCAGGGTCCTGGGAGTGGTCCTGCAGGGTTGGGGGCCACTGGCTCTCAAAGGCCTGTATGGCTCTGTCTACAGAGGGAGAGATCCAGGTAGGATCAACTGGGCACCCTTAGCACAAACTGAGAGCCTCCTGACAGTACACATGAGTCCCCTCTTCCCCCATGCACAAAGAATAGGAGGACAGGACATTTGCAAGGACTGACTATGGAACAGAAGACCAGAGTAAGAAATAATCATAAAATGAGAAAGACACCTGGCTAAGTTCCATCCTTACAAAGCAGGGTGACTATCCTCCCAGTTTTACAGACACAAAAAGGCATGAAGTAGTTCACATGCCTTTTTGTGTCTGTAAAAGTGGCTGGTCCAACTGAGGCTTCCTAACTCTGGCAGCTAATCGCCGAGCTAACCAGAGTAGGGAGAAGAGGGGAGTTGCAGGGTTGGCACCACCTCAAAAGTGGCCTAGGCACCCAGTTCAATTCCAGGGTATTGGAAACAAACGGTTTAACTGCACCCACCACGAATCAGGCTGTGAGCCGCAAGGTCAGCAGTTCGAAACTACCAGTGGTTCCGCGGGAGAAAAATGAGGCGGTCTGCTCCCGGAAAGATTTACAGCCTCGGAAACCCTGTGTAGGGTCGCTATGAGTTGGACCGACTCTACGGCACATAACAACAACAACCACACCACCCTTCTCGCTTCCGACCTTCAGGGACACCAGGTTTGACACCGCTAGGATTCTACTTAGAGTCTATGACCTGGCCCCCAGAGACATCTGGACAGGGTGAGTGAGCCTTCCTGACAAAGAGCCTCAGTTTCCTCTCCTCTAAGATGGGCTCCCGCGGGGCCAAGCAACTAAGGGAGTAGGCAGTACGTGCCAACTGCCCTGCCTGGGCCCCTCACCCAAGCAGAAGTTCCTTGTAAAGAGCCCCCGGAAGTCTTCACACTCTTCATGCTGGTTACCACTGGCTCCGCAGTCGCACCAGAGTGCCACACGCGAACTCTCGTTGTCCACGTAGTTGGGCGTGACGGCTGTGCCTGCGGGGGGCGCCAAGGAGGGGTCATCGGCCCACCCAGGCATAAGTATCCCCCTTGTGAGCCCCACCCACGCCAGGCTCCCACCTTCGTACCCACAAGGCTGGCGTAGGCGCGCCGGCAGCTGGTGGCCTGCTCCGGTGGGCAGACATCCGGGGCGACCTGGGAGGGCAGGCACGAGGCCTGGAAAGCACGGAGGCGGGGCCTGTGGATGGGGCGGGGCAGTGAGCGACCGCCCACGCCCCACGCCCCGCCCCCCACCCCACCCCACGCCCACCTGCAGACTCCGCTGTGTTCGCAGGCTTCTAGAGTTGCTAGGCAGGAGGGCGGCCCTAAGCCGGGCCCCAAGAAGGCACAGGCAGGCACGATGGTCTGGCGGCGGCGCTCGGCGCACGCGGCATCCACACATGGGCAAAAGAGTAGTGCGAGGGTGAGAGCCGGCGGCCCGTGGGCGAAGAAGCGGCGCAGGGCGCGGTGGCAGCGGGCGCGGGGGCAGACCCCTGAAGTAGCCCGCCCCAAGCACTGCACCACGTACTCGGTGCGCAACGGCTGGCACCGCACATCTGCCGAGCATGCCTCTGCCGCGGCCACACATCGGTTACCTCCGGCCGAGCTTTCGGACCCTGGTGGTGAGGGGAGCAGGCAGGCTGCAATTCCGGGGGCGCCCTACTTGCACGTTTCACCCTCTACCAATCCGCACCCTCCGCTGTGGGGTGGGCGCTCAAACTCTAGGAGAGGGGAACAAATTGTGGCCCGAAGACACGACGGACTGGCACGGCCGGCTCTCCACTGTGGGAATGAACGGCGTGCTTCCAGATTCCTTGCAACATATTAGGGATGGCTAGGGCGCACCGAGGTTGGGCCTGGCCTCTCCCAGAAACTGAAGTCCCATTCTCCCCAGGTAGTGCCCTTGAACTGCCACACTCATACAAAGAAAAGTCTTTGGGGATTCTCGCACCCTCTGGGACTTTTCTTGACCTGGGAAACAGAGCCTTCTGGGGACCTGGTCAATGGAGACATATTAGAAATAGCGCTGTGAACAGTGGCCACTCCACCTCCTTTTCTTGATGCTCTGGGACACCTGACCCTCCCTCTTCCTTCCCCCCCCCCCCAGACCTTTAGGGTGGGTCTATAGATTGCTGGTTCTCCTTCCTCTCTGAGCCTCCTCCTGCCCACGCACCTCCCCTCATCAATCCTTCATGATACCATCTCTGTCTGTCTCTTTCCCTTGGGCCTAACCCCCTACCTACTCCTACCCACTCAGTCTGTATACTGGCTACCTCCTGGCCTCCACTAGCCAAGGTGAAAGGGAGAGTCCCCATGAGGGCTCTAGCCAATGTAGGGCCCATTCAGGTCTTAGGGAAGCTTCAGCTGAGCCCCAGGCTGTCCTGAGCTACAGAATCCAAGGATTCATCAGTGATTCCAGGGAAGGTGCAGCCCGATGATGATGTTGGGAACAGAGAGGATGCCTGGCATGGCCGAGTCACACAACATGGAACACCAGATGGACCATGACCAGGGCTGTCCAGCAAGTCAGTGTCTCAGGATGTCAGGACTTGACAGTCCCTTCCTAGGTCCTGAGTCTCCCAAACCAGGATCCCTCTCCTCATGCCCCTGCCTGCCTTTACTCTTGGGGGCACTTCATTCAGACAAGAAGTCTTTCTGCCATCCTAATCTGAGCCAAGGGGTCCTGGTGTGGTGCTGTAGGATAAGCAATGGACTGGTAATCAGAAGATCAGGAATTCAAACTCATCAGCCGCTCCTTGGAAACCTTGTATATATACAGGATCACTCTGAGTCAGAATGGACTTGAGGGCACTAATGACACCAATCTGAACAAAGTGCCTAGCCTGGCCCCATATTCATTCTGCTTTACATGTTGGGGTGGGGCTGTCTCTAGCCCTAGGCTGGGAGTGGAGCTCCTCTCAAGCACCTCGTCTTGCTGTGTCATGGACTGGGATATAAGAGTCGTGGTAATTCTTTTCATAGCTTCAGCACTGTCCGCTTCTCTGGAATGATGGGCAGACAGATGCTGAGAGCTTGCAGAGGGTATATAGAGGGAGTAGACCGGAGAGAATGCCAGTCCCCTGGGGACCACAGAACAGCAGGTTCACTTTGTTCGTCTCTCTGCTCCTTTGTTTATGTATCTACCTTCTACCTTCACCAGAAGTACCTTACCTGGTTTCCATCCTCAAACCACATCACAGCCCAAAGAGCTCCTCTGCCATAAACTTTGCCAGGTTCCATTCTATCCACCCCACCTATTAAAGTGACCCTTCCCTCCGTGATGTCCCAAGATGGTAAAGGAACATCAAGCAGGACAAAAGGCATGGGAGCTGGAAGATGGAATTTGGAAGGCTGGGAGAGGGAGGCAACAGGAAAGTTCCTGGGACAGAGATGCTGGCTGGACTTGGGAGGGGGAGTCTGCTGCAGGGATCAAAAGTGCTTGCAGGGTGTAGTGGCGCCCAATAGAGAGGGGTCAGCTACTAGGCATCCCTGCACCCCTCACACAAGCTACAGACACTTGCACAGCTGTCCTTGTCACCTTGAATTGTGTTTCTCCTCTCCCTTCCCAGCCCCCAATTGTCTCCTAGTCCTTCCTTCCCACAGATCCTGAGGAGGGAGAGAGAATAAAAGGGCCCAAAGGAGGAGACATGTGCTCACCCAGCAACAGCAGCAGCAGCAGTGGTATTGCAAATCCTAAACATCCGGCCATGCCAGCAGCAAAGGGAGGGAATCAGCCTGGGTAAGAGCCCCAGATGAACGGGTGAGCCCTTCCCAGTACCCATGGTGCTGGAGTGCGCAGTGGAAACCCAGGTGTCTCTACGCTAACAAGTGCACTCCAAGCAGGAGGAGCCTGCGTAGTACTAGTGACACACACACCCCTTGGCATTCACCCCAAGCCAAGCCTTAGCTGTAGATCCCAGAAATCCCAACACACACACACACAGACTTTGCCTGGACAAAACAACATTGTTCTGCTCCTTCAAAAAATAATTTAATTTCTTACCGTTATAGTGTGAACTTATTTTAGACTGGCAGAATAGTCTTCAAAATGTTAGCTCTCTTTAGTATACCTTTTATTCAGCTTTCCCTAATGATAATTTTCTCCCCAAAGTAAAAGGCAGCAATTACTTAAATACAAAATTCAGAAGGGTGGGGGAAAGAAAGAGGAATGAAAACAAGAAATGCAGGGCAGCAGTGGAATACGGGAAGTTACGTTGAGCGAATTGCAATAAGTTATGATTTGTAAATGTGAAATTGATGATCTGCTCTGTAAACCGTCGCTCAGTTCACAATAAAAGTTTGTTTTTTTAAAAAAAAAAAAAAACAGAGCGAATTCAAGAAACAATATTGATGTTGTTGTTAAGTGCCATCGAATTGGTTCCAACCCATAGCTACTCTGTTAGGGTTTCTGAGGAGCAGCTGGTGAGCTTGAACCGCCAACCATGCTATGCTTGAGCCCATTGCTGCTGCCATTGTGACAATCCATCTCGTTGAGGGTCTTCCTCTTTTTTGCTGACCTTTCACTTTACCAAGCATGAAGTCCTTCTCCAGGGACTGGTCCCTCCTAATAATATGTCTGAAGTATGAGAGATGAAATCTAGCCATCCAGGCTTCTAAGGATCATTGCAGCTGTAATTCTTCCAACACAGATTGGTTTGTTCTTTTGGCAGTCTACGGTATTTTTAACATTCTCCTCAAACACCATTGCTCAAATGCATCAATTCTTCTACGGTGTTCTTTATTCACTGTCCAACTTTCACATGCATATGATGTGACTGAAAATACCATGTCTTGGGTCAGGTGCACAAAAACTTGACATCTTTGCTCTTGAACACTTTAATGAGGTCTTGTGCAGCAGATTTGCCTAATTCAATACTTCATTTGGTTTCTTGACTGCTGCTTTCAAGAGTGTTGGTTGATCCAAGCAGAATGAAGTCTTTGACAACTGCAATCTTTTCTGTTTATTTTGATGTTACTTATTAGTCCAGTGGTGATGATTTTTTTTTTTTTTAACCATTGAGGTACAACCCATATAGAAGATTGTGATCTTTATCTTCATCAGTATTTTAAGTTCTCTTCACTTTCAGTAAGCAAGGTTATATCATCATCTACATATCACAGGTTGTTAATGAGTCTTCTTTGAACCCTGATGTCGCATACTTCTTCATATAAACCAGTTCCTCAAATTTTTTGCTCAATGTACAGATTGAATAAGTATGGTGAAAGAATACAATCCTGGTGCATACTTCTCCTAATTTAAAACCATTCAGTGTTCCCTTGTTCTGTTTAAACAGTTGCTTCTTGGTCTATATACAGGTTCCTCCTGAGCCCAAATAAGTGTTCTAGAATACTCATTCTCTGTAATGTTGCCCATCACTTGTCATGATCCACACAATTGAGAGGCTTTCAGTAGTCAATAAAGCACAGGTAGACATCTTTCTGGTCATCTCTGCTTTCAGCCAAGATCCATGTGATATCCCTTGTTCCATGTCCTTGTCTGAATCTGACTTGAACCCCCAGCAGTTCTCTGTTAATGAACTGTTGCAGCAATTTTTAAATTACCTGGCAAAATTTTACTTGCATGCAATAATCCAATGATTTCCACATTCCATTGGGTCACCTCTCTTGAATGGGCACAAATATGGATCTCTTCCAATCAGTTGGCCAGGTAGCTGTCTTCCAAATTTCTTAGCATAGATGAGTGAGTGCCTCCAGTGCCATATCAGTTTGTTGAAATATTTCAATTTGTATTCCATCAATTTCCAGTGTCTGTTCTTTGCTAATTCCTTCGATGCACCTTGGACTTCTTCCTTCAGTATCATTGGCTCTTGATCATATGCTACCTCTTGAAATGGTTGCACATCAGTTATTTCTTTTTGGTACAGTGACTCTGTGTATTCCTTCTATCTTTTTTTTTTCAATTAAAAATATTTATTAGTATGATCATTGAAATCAAGACAGTTTTTATATCACAAAAAGAAAGTTTGTGATTCACTTTAACTGAATTTTAATTTGTTAGGGAATAAATATACACTTCATTATAGTTTTGCTACAAGCATTTGTAACATTTCCAAAGAGAAGACTTAGACTAGGATAAGAGTTTTTTATTTTTTCTTTAAGTTTTTGAATGATAGGTTACAAGGGAGAGCATCGATTTTATGCTCATCCTATTATATTTCATTTCATTTCAATGATTATAATCCATTCTGTGCATCATCATTCAACAGTATTTGCTTCTATTCCATTTTTTTGTTGTTGTTTTGTTTTTATGTACACAAAAACACTCAGGAATATATAATTATTTAAACAGCTAAAGGGCATATTCTGCAAGCCTTCCTCCTGGATGCCAGTACACAGCCTTTCTCTTTCCATAAATCAAGAGTCCTCAGCTGCTCTATCTCTCCACATCATCATCTCTGCCTCCATCTCTGGTATTGCTACTTCTCTGGATAGCGTCCCACATTCCCCTCGTGCTCTACTCCTTTGATGATCCTAGGGTTCTCTGTTCCTGGACTGTAAGATTAACTACTCCCCTATTTATGTTAAAAACTTCAACCTTTACAGTTGTGACAAACGCAATTCATCATGATGACAATTACTATTGACTCATAAGAATCTTATCTCCATCTCTTTTCACCAGACCCATCTAGACAAGATGAAAACTATTCAGTGAGGATTCTGCTTTCCCCTGCACACTCTGTAACTAACCTCTTAAAAACTTGTAAGA